AGGAGAGCACCTTCAGTATGAGGTGCTCCATGCGTAGGACGTCGCGCCGCGTGTACGTGTCGTCCGTTATGTACACGAACTCCGACACCTCGGGAGGGTACACCTCCTCGTATTTACTGTACCAATATGTACCATTAGACATCAATTAAAAGACTATTTAAAAATAGTATTTTACTGAGATAATGATGTAGATATATCTCATTTGCTACTTTCCAGTATGGAAAAAAGACTTTTTTTTATAAATCTGTAGTAAAAATTCAATAAAAATAAAAAAGACTACTTCAAGCTTTCAATCCAAGATGTGTGTACCATATATGTAACAAATACTTGGATCTAATTGGTTTCTGTTCTTATCAAAATCATTTTTATTATAGACTTAAACTAAATGGGATAAGAGTCAAATTAATATAGATTACTATACTCACGCTGCAATATAAGTTGCGGCTGTTCCCACTAACTGTAGTTTAGTGCGTACAACACTCATATAAGACAGGAAGCGGTCAACATAGGACACCGCAAGATGCAGTGTCTCACTCTGTTGTCCATACTCATCACAAACTTCTACAAGCCAGTCAATCAGGATAGACCTCATCATGTGCGTTATATCTGGCTGCTTGCGCATGTAGCGAGGGTTTGCTCTGTTCTTTACCTAAGTTGAAATAGAAACCCTTTGTAGATATTTCGCTTAAAAAAAGGATAAACACACTCAAACTAATAATATTGATGTTTTTCAAAGTATTCTCAAAATTATGTATTTTTCAAAACTTTACTTTTGAAAGTGCATTTATTAAAATAGGTTATAAATATTATAATTTCTTATTTTACTGAAAGGTCAATAAACCTAGTTAATATTAAATTTAAGTTAGTTTCCTTGACCCACTTTTCAAATCTAATTTCATTATAATTAACAACCACATAATATAGAACACATGATAAAGATAAAACTAAGTTACCATGTAAGTGTTTAACAAAACAAATGATTTAAAATGCAATCTACTTAAAAAAAAATCAGAATTTAATAACTTCCTTCATTTAAGAAGTCAGTTAAAATATTTGAAAACTTTTAATTTAACTAAGTTTTACCGGAAACCATACTTTCTTTTATTAAGAAAGCATAATCAATTAGTGTATTCAAACTTTTTTATTCCACTCATACTTACCTCTATTTCCCTCATGTATTCATAAATATCATTCCGATATTCCACAACATGGAAGAACATCTCCCGATCAGTCTGTGCAGTTGCGGCATCTTCATCATTAAGGGTCTCCTCAAGGATCTGGCTCTCATTCTTTGATATAGACATACAAGACAGAATACTCGAGTCCACTATGGACATTGGAGATTCTATCACATCTTTCTTTTCTTGTGCCACATCTTTTTTCTCTTGAAGAACCCTGAATAATGTGATATGCAATTATATACAAAAATAATTATAAATAATCTTACTAATACCTTACTTTTTACTAAAACTAAGATTAAATGGATAGATGTAACTTAAGAATAGCTCAAGATATCATTGAAATTTCACATAGATATAGAATATAGCCTAGAAGAACATCTTGTATATTGATTTTGTTTGTTTTTTAATTCTGCAGGTATGGGGTGTACTGGATGACCATTAGTATATAATAAATCAGTTATTACTACTACTTTACACTTCTAAAAAACAACAAGTAAAGAAATCTAAAAGTGCAATCATTGTATATTTGATCAAGATCAGTAAAAATATGCTTGGTTGTGAAATAATTGAGGAAAGTGTGTCAGGTCAATATCAATTTTAGTCTAATGAGCATTCATAAAATATAATTTATCAACAAAGTTTGTCATGTTAAATGTAACTTTCAACAAGGAAACCTTACATTTAGAATCTATGCTAAAAAGATGGTTAAAAAATATTACAAAACATACTGTTGAATAAATTTTAAGTGAAGGTACTTCAACAAAATATTTAAATTTTGTTAGATTACAGACAAATCCAAATTAATTAGCATCTGTATGCCTGTTATTTGATACAATACAAAACCAGATGTTAAAACTGATATATAATTTACCCCCTACTGTTCTATAACCTATAAAAAAATGATAACTTGAATTTCTATATATACATTAACTGCAAAAGCATGTGCTTTTATATGTATAAAATTGTTTAAAGAAATGAATAAACATACCTTGACGCATCTGGTTCTTTTGGCCGGTCTGGTTGTTTTTCAATTTGGGGACAAAGACCTTTAACATTTTCAGAGTTATTGGTAAAAATATTGTCTTTCTTGATCTCTTTTGCAGCGAAAGGTTTATAAGTTGGCTCCTTTTTCTTAACATCTGCTTCGGAATTCTTGTCTTCGTACACACTAAACGCGCGAAACTGAGCTACGGGAAGCACAATGTTCTTTTCATTTTTGATCTGCCGTACCGTCCTGTTCTCATCTTGAACTTTGCACGGTCCATTCGTCAACCCGGCCTGAAAGAATTATTAAAAAATACATAACCATCATGAAAAAACCAACCTAACAAACAAGTCGTTGGACTTACAAGTTTAATGTTCCGGTTTTGATTACAAGCGAACTGACTGAGATCACCCAGAGCACGCCGTTGTGTGTTCCCTGTAAATACTTCGGCATCTTTTCTTATTCCTAACGCAGCATTTTCTTGATCTTCGTGAATTCGAAATGATGCCATTGCCCCCGCTAAGTCCGTAAACAATAACGAGTAAAACAAGACACTTCAAAACGCGGGTTGCGAATGTTTGAATTATGTATCCCACCGGAAATAAATTAGTATCTAAGATTACGAGCACATTTTTAAAGTATCGACAGTAGAATTAACAATGCTGCGTTAATTTCGAAATTACCCTCAGAAAACGCTAAAAGCAGCGTCAACGGACAACAGACATTTTGGTAATTTCAGCTGTTGCAATTTACGTTACTCTATTCTTTATGCTATTTTAAATTTCAACCAATAACAGAGCGGCTACGCCACCCACTTGCTGTCTATGGATTTTTTTCGTTTTAAAACTTAACGTGGATTTGATAAAATAAGGAATAAAAGAATTACACTCATGAATACTTAACACATAATGAAAATATTGTTAATTTATTTTTGTAATAGAATTGCTTTTTAACTGATTTTAGTGATGAAGTGACATATTATATGTTGGCTAAGGTATCACAACCAAGACGAAGTTTTTTAAAAAAGACACTACATGACTGACAGCTGACAATTGACAACTGTCTGAAAATATCGACATCGACATATGATGTAAACTTTACTCATATAGAATTTGCAAAGATCTAAGAAAATATAAAAGTACACAAATATACAAGGCTTTAAACCCAAAAAGTAATAGATAATTGAAGAATGAAAACACTAGTTTTCCCTGTGATTGTTATTTTATGTTACATTTGTGATCCATGTTTATCAATACGAAAATACAGCAAGGAAGATGTTATAAAACTTCGGTAATATCGTATATTTTAATTGTTAATTGAAATGAAAACACTTAAAGCATTGTACAGTGGTAATTTTTTTCATAAAAATACTTTTATTACAGAGAAGAAGTTCGAGAAATGTTTCAACACGCGTACGACAGTTACCTACGTTACGCGTATCCCTATGATGAATTAAGGCCTCTCAGTTGTGATGGAGTGGATACTTGGGGTAGTTACTCCCTCACATTAATCGATGCACTCGATACCCTCGCTATAATGGGTAACTACACTGAATTCAACAGAGTTGTAGATGTAGTTCTACAAAAACAAAACTTTGACACTGATATCAATGTTTCTGTCTTTGAAACGAATATTAGAATAATTGGAGGATTACTGAGCGCTCATTTATTGTCCCATAAGTAAGTACATTTATAATATGTATGTTAAAGTGGAAGGGTACAGCTTATTTTAGATAGTATGACAGTTTTAATTTTTTCTAGAACAGGTTTAAAGTTGGAGCCAGGCTGGCCTTGTAATGGTCCATTGTTGCGTCTTGCTGAAGATGTAGCTCAGAGACTTATAGCAGCATTTGATACTACAACTGGCATGCCTTATGGCACCATTAACTTGAAATCTGGAGTACCTCCGGGAGAAACCAGTGTAACTTGCACTGCTGGCATTGGGACTTTTATAATTGAATTTGGTACTTTAAGTAGACTTACTGGTGATCCACTCTATGAAGAGGTGAGATAATCATTTAGGTATATTTTTTAAATTGCTTTATGTAAGAAAAGAATCATTGACAATGAAATATTGTATTTGTTATTAATGAGAAATCCTGCAACTCTGTTTATGCAGATTAAAAAAAAATCCTATATGATGGCCAGACTATGTTCTATGCCAAATATCTATTAATTTATATTAAAAATACATAGAAAGAAACATCCATCTGTCCCAACTGAGCATTTACAATATAAGTGTGAAATATGATAGTAATGTGGTTTGTTCTTTAAAATATCATATTTACTTACTAGCTGTAACTTACATTTTCAGGTGGCCTACAATGCTCTAAAAGCACTTTATCATCACAGATCTCCTATAGGTCTGCTTGGCAATCACATAGATGTCATGACAGGGAGGTGGACTGCACAAGATGCTGGTATAGGAGGAGGTGTTGATTCTTACTTTGAATATCTAGTTAAAGGTATGGTTTAATCTTTATTTCCCTTTGCTTTATATTGTTTTCTGTTTTAAAAACACAAGATACAAAATGGTTTCAAAATTATTAGAAACTAGCTGTTCCTGTGCACTTCATCCACATAAAATTGTGAGTATTTTATTTCATTTTGTCAAATTATCAATTGCAAATGTCAAAATGATATGATGATGACAAACCCTGGCAACCTTGCTTCCTTGATATTGGCAGTAACTTACTCTTTCTCACATTAGGGTTTTTATCCAAAAAATTTACCCCCTAAGTTTAATGGCGTGAAATATATAGCCTAAAGCGTGACTTAAGTATAGGGCTTTTTATTAAAAAAAGAATGGTTTAAAAATATGCTATAATTGCTGACATCTTAGGCAACAAAGAAGTGTGTGTTTACACCTTATTATAATAGTATAGATGTATAAAAACTGGAGAAGCTGGATCAAAGAAAAAAAAATTAAAGGGATTAGTAATATTCAGCCTTTGGAAAAAATTATTGTATCATTTATAAGGCAGTTAGTTGTATGGCATTCATTTCAAATCTATGATTTTTATTTAGGTAACCTTAACCGATAAGTTGTTTTGACCCATGTTATGTTTAGCAGTTTTACTGTATATGGAAATGTGTTTATTTTGTAGGTGCAATACTTTTAGAAAGGCCTGAACTAATGTCAATGTTTAAAGAAGCGCGGCAAGTAATTGACAAGTATCTGAAGAAGGATGACTGGTTTGTGTGGGCGACCATGTTGCGAGGTCATGTTACGCTGCCAGTATTCCAATCACTTGAATCTTATTGGCCGGGTGTGCTTACTTTGATTGGTAAGTATGATACTTTTATACATTTCAAAACATTTTTCAATCTCCTTGTATTTTTCAGTCATCAATTATTAACTAATGTTTTTAAGTATTCAATTTTTAATAGGAGTTTGTGTGGTGTTTGTGGAGTTTGTATTGTAAGTTTAAAAATTTCTACAAATAAAACTTAACCTTACCTTTTCTTAATTTTTAGGTGAAACTGACACAGCTATGCGTATAATACACAACTATCATAGTGTATGGAAACAGTACGGTTTTACGCCTGAAGTATATAACTTAGGTACAGGAGAAGCGTCCACTTCTAGAGAGAGTTATCCGTTGAGACCCGAGCTGATAGAATCTATTATGTATTTGTACCGAGAGACACGCGACCCCATTTTACTTCAGATGGGTGAAGATATATTAAGAAGTATACAGCACAGTGCAAGAACACCGTGCGGTTATGCTACGGTAATTCATTTTGTCATATATTTTTCTTATGTTAGGTTATAACTACATTTTAATAGTTGATTACACAATTTAACTTAAATTTTGTGTTGTATATTAGCTCTCATCTTGCTATACTTGCCAGAATTTACTCTAAACGTCACTATATGACGATTACAAAAGTAACTTTCTCTCCTTATTTCATACTTTGTAGTATATTTGTAAAGTCTAGTATACCTTTTAGTATAGTTTTTAATTATTTCTTCTGAAGTGTTCAAAGAAATTTCCAATTTATTCTGTAGCTATAAGATCTAAAGTATTCAGATATTATTGTATTGTAGAATTCGTCGGCTAACCTGAAAAAAAAAATTTAAATAGTACACTCATTTTTGTTTTCTTTTTTTTTTTAGATTAAAGACGTAAGGGATCATCGTAAAGAAGATAGGATGGAATCATTCTTTTTGGCGGAGACAACTAAATATTTATATTTACTTTTCGACCCTGACAACTTCATACACAATCCGGGAGTTCACGGCACTGTTATTAACACTCCGAATGGAGAATGTATCGTTGACGTCGGTGGATACATTTTCAACACAGAAGCACATCCCATTGATCCAGCAATGCTGTATTGCTGTCATGAACCTAGGTAAGGGTAACATATTTTGACACAGCTTGAAAAAAATACTTTTTTAAATAAATTTTTGCTTAAACATACATTATACCGTGACTAGCACCGGACGAGAATTTTTGACAAATCAAAACTTTTGGAATATATTGTATAAGCTTGCGAAATGCTATATTGACCAATCTTACTAATGTCATAAATGTGAAAGTTTAGATGAATTGATGGATGGATGGATGTTTGTAGCCAAAACGGCTGAATAAATCTCAATGAAATTTGGCATAGACATAGAGAATAGTCTGGAAGAACACATAGGTTACTCACTTTTGTATTTTTTTACTTCCACGCGGACAGAGTCGCAGGCGAAAGCTAGTAAATAATATTGTACTTATATCGAAACTAAGGTGATACATATTTGTGGTAAACCACGTTGGCCAAAGTATCAATCGACGCGGTCAAAGAGTTCAAACACGTATTTTACTTGTCAGTTTAAATTTTACTTTATTGTATGAAATCGTCAGTAATAATGTACTATACGTTTTTAACATCTTAATTTCTTTTGCAGCATAAATATAAGCGAAGTACACAGAATATACCAAATATTGGAAGAGGAAGATAATATTCAGTTTATGACAATGATTGATGCATCTCTCAATGTCACTACATCTGAAAGTGTTATTGAAACAAATAGTTCTGCAACTGTCAATGCTTCGGAAGTCGTAATCGAAGAAAAGAATGAAGAGGAAGAAATAATACAAGAGGAGGAAATAATACAAGAGGAAGAAATAATACAAGAGGAACTGATTAAAACGGAGACAAAGACAGGCTATGTGAATATAGATGGAACAGAAAGAGAGAAGACTACAAATGAAACAACTCTAAGCGACATTGTCAAAGATAGAATAAACAGTTACTATGAGAATACTAACGTGAAAGGCGAACAAGGAACGAGGGAGGATATCGAAATTAAACCTAAGAAACCTGAAGAAAAAGTCGATATTGATGATATAATAGTTGTTAGAAAGTACACTGGGAATGATAATTTACAATTACCGAGTACGACAAAGGCGAAAGAAGCTATAAAAATGTTACCGAAAGTTATACAAGATTTTTTAAATAACGATTGGAAATCGAAACCCGCGTGCGAGCCGCAGTACATGTTGGAGCGGATCCGGAAAGAAAAGTTGTATCCAGATCATCCAGATGTTGATAAATATGAACTATTGCTGACGCCAGCGCCCTCATTTCTACAAAGAATATCGTTAGCTGGCGAATTTCTTAATAAAAAACAATTAGAATTATAAGTGCTTTCTTGTGGTAAATAATTTATTAAACGAACGATCTTTTTTTAATACTGAAATAATGATTTCACTTCAATTTTTCATATCATTCCTAATAATTTATTGTTAGTACTTTTTAATGTTACAGTGTTTCAATGTTATTTATTAAAGCGTGCAATAAGACTGAATGTAGACTTTTATTTTCTTTGAAACAATAATGCTCAAAATTAATAGAAAGATAATTAAATTACTACGAAGGTCTACCGAAACACTGGAAAGGACCATACTGATGATGGTCTGGGACTTCTTCCCCAACATAAAATTAATATATTGAGAAGCAGATGATAAAGGTAGGTGAAGATTCTTTGACATACGATTCCTTTATCTTTGAATCTTCTTTACAATAAGAAGAATACAAGATTGTCAACGTCAAACATTTGTCATATTGTCATGTAAAATGTAATCTAAATTCTAATATATCTTACTCATTACAAAACTCAAGATGTATTTAAAGCCGCTTTCGAAAACGTTGCTCTCCGTCTCGCCGCGCCACGATAGCTTTGAACTGGAGAGCCTGGTTCTTAACTGTGCGATAAGCTTATCATGACCGAATTGAAATCGACCACATCGGAAGAAAACACGTTAGCTTCAAAAGGATACAAACTACTTAAATATTTAGGTGAAGGCGCTTACGCTAAGGTATACTTATAGTGCAATAAATTAAATATACACATTTGTCTTTTCACAACTTCTCCGAAGTAACAAATATGAAAGAAATTTATCTAGATGTTTATATGCAGGACTAACTGTTAAAATGTTTGATATATTTCAGGTTTATTTAACAGAATATTTAAAAGAAAATAACAAAGTCTCGCTCGCTTGTAAAGTTATAGAAACTGCGAAAGCCCCCAAAGATTTCGTCGTAAAGTTTCTACCGCGGGAAATAGATGTTCTAATTCGATTGAACCATCCTCATTTGATTCATGTACATAGCATTTTTCAAAGGAAAACGAAGTATTACATTTTTATGAGATATTCAGAAAATGGAGATCTTCTTGGTTATATTTTAAAAAACGGATGCGTTTCTGAAAATCAGTCGCGAGTTTGGTTGCGTCAGCTCGCTTTGGGGTTGCAGTATTTGCACGAATTAGAGATCACTCACAGAGATATCAAATCTGAGAATGTGCTATTGACGGCTAATTTTAATGTGAAGCTATCGGATTTCGGCTTCTCGAGGTTTTGTATCGACGAGGATGATCAGCCGATTTTGAGCGAGACGTATTGTGGGTCTATGTCATACGCCGCTCCGGAGATATTGCGCGGCAAACCGTATCTACCGAAGCCAACCGATCTCTGGTCGTTGGGAGTGGTGCTCTTTGTTATGCTTAACAAGTCTATGCCCTTCGATGATACTCGCATGAAAAAGTTATATGAGCAACAGATGGGAAAGAAATATAGATTCAGATCGCGCGTTGCTGGTATTTTGTCTTTAGAGTGCAAATCTATTGTGAAACATTTACTCGAACCCGATCCTGGTCTTCGCTACAACTCGACTCAAATTTTAAAATCTGAATGGATTGCTATGGACAGTAGACTGATCAGTAAGTTTGATTATGTATAAAATGTCAGTGCTAGAATAATAGATTATTATTTTATGTATGATATTTTTTGATGGAGGTAATATCGAGTAATTCTTTGTAGCACTTAACGCAGTTGAGGAAGCAGCTTTAAATAGAGCAAAAGAAGGACGTAAAAGATTATCTGAGATACACAAAAATCCAACAAAAAAACAGGGTGATATTTGGGAGGACACTCAAAGAACTTCTTCGTATAGAGTAATATTTTTATCAATTTTAATAAACTTACCGTTGTATTGTTTGTTTACTTATAAATATTTATTTTTAGGCTAGTGAAATGATAAAATCTTTAGCTAGCATAACAGCAAAACAAAAGAGAGAATAAATGGAGGATAAGTCTAAGGTAACAAAAAGATTTTTAATGTCATACGAGATTTTCAGAAAAATAATCTTTCTTTATTCGGTCAACAGGTTATAGACAATGACTTACGTTTATCTGGCTCCGAGCAATTGACGTTGGCCAGTCGCGGGTACAAAATTATAAAGAAAATCAATGAAGGATCATATGCAAAGGTTGTTAACGATTAATCAATGATATTCTAAATACAAATGAAATCTTTACCTTTCATCGTCTTTTAGGTCTATCTTGCGGAGTACAGAAATCCCAGTAAAAGTGACAAGCTGGTTATCCTAGCCTGCAAAGTTATCGACACCAACACAGCTCCCAAAGACTTCGTCAAGAAATTCCTACCGAGAGAAATCGATATGTTGATAAAATTAAACCATCCACATTTAGTTCACACACATAGTATATTTCAGAGAAGATACAAATATTTTATATTTCTACGGTTTATGGAACATGGGGACTTGCTGGAATATATCTTGCAAAACGGCGCGGTGCAAGAGGACCAGGCAAGGATATGGACGCGGCAATTGTCACTTGCGATACAATACATGCATGAACTAGAGATAGCGCACAGAGACATCAAATGTGAAAACGTATTACTAACAGCAAATAAGAACGCAAAGCTGTCTGATTTTGGTTTCGCACGGACTTGCGTCGACAAGAAGATGAAGGATGTACACAGTGAGACATTTTGCGGCTCCTTGTCGTACACTGCGCCGGAGATACTACACGGTTGTCCGTACTTCCCGAAGCCTACTGATATTTGGTCATTGGGTGTGGTCGTATACGTGATGTTGAACAGAGCAATGCCTTTCGAAGACAAGCACATCAAGCAGTTATATCAGGCGCAGATCAATCGCAACTGGAGATTCAGGTCGCGATATGCCGACACGCTCTCCGACAACTGTAAGCGACTTGTTGCCTTGATGCTCGAACCTAACTACCAGAATAGAATTAAAGTTGAACAAATCATAAGCAGTGAATGGATAGCAATGGATTCTAGACTTCTAGGTTAGTATTCTAAGTTCGTATCATTAGCGCTCTCGCTCTCTCTCTCTCTCTCTCGTGTCTAAGCGCGCTCAGAAAAGATATATAAATTTCCACATTGTTTACATTTTCATAGAATGGACACCACAAGAGACGTTAGCTTTCAAGAAGGCTAAAGAAGAAAGAAACCACCTACAGAAGAAGTTAGAATCTACGGAACTGATCAAAAACGAGAAGGAGACTGTTTTGCCAGAGAAGTCTCTTGTCAACAATTCTATTGACGTCACCGGTTCTACGTCTTCCTGGTATTGAATCCATAAAAAATTAGGTTTGCATTTGCCTTATTTTATCACTTTTTATTTCGATTATGTTAACCGTCGACGCTTTTTCAGAGTTCACACGCATTGGGTCACGAAAAATCACAAAAAACAAAAGGAAACTGTCTGAAAATAAATAAATGTTTACCTGATTTTGTTATTTAATAAATTTTGTATTATTTACTTACTACTCTACCTCCGCCTTCGTCTCTGTCGTTTGAATATAAATGTACAAAACTTATGTAGCTTTTATTTACGTTTTAGTGGATAATTTCACAAAAGTACTGAAGGGATGCATAAAAACGCTTCGCCGAGATTGCATTATTACCGAAATATGTTAGGTATACAAGAATTATTGTTTTTATTTATTTATGCAATTCTTTTTATAATTAGGATTGTAGATAATTATTTAATTGTGTAACGTTGTCTTTTGAATCATTCCTTAATATTAAAAAGTATAATCTACAAAAGATGGCGGACATCTCAGATTTTGTCAATTTTGATTATTCATGACATTTATTTGAGTGATAATTGACAAGTAAATATGTAACGAATTTGCTAAAATTTAAGTTAATTTAATTCAACATGAATGACTAAAGTTTACTCAAAATTATAACATTATTTATGAAATTTAGATTTGATTTATTATGTTATTGATTAAAGTAAAAATTAAACCATTATGAGGGTAACCCACAAATGGGACAGGGTGATAAATTGGAACTTTCTACGACCCCATCAGATTTGAATGTGTTACAGGAAAAGGGTTTCATTCTTGAAAAGATTATAGGAGAGGGGTCGTATGCTAAAGTAAGTAAAGTTTATTACGTCGAATAAATATCTTGTACGTTTAAGTTTTGTTCTACTCTAATACTACAAAAGCAAGTTTTCATATTTAAATATCTGATTACAAATACAAACACGTGTTGCAGGTTTTCAAAGCAACGCAAATGATGGACGAGACGAGGCACTGTATACTGGCATGCAAGGTGATCGACACGGCGCAGGCGCCGCGAGATTACCTCTCAAAGTTCTTGCCCAGAGAACTGGACGTTCTGATACGTGTAAATCACCCACACATTGTCAACGTGTCCCATATTTTCCAAAGAAGAGCTAAATATTTCATCTTCCTCCGCTTCGCTGAGAACGGGGACTTATTAGATTTTCTGTCACAACATGGCGCCGTGCCGGAAAATCAGTGCCGGTTGTGGATGAGACAGATCCTATCCGGCATTCAGTACATACATTCTATGAACGTGGCACACAGAGATTTGAAGTGCGAGAATATTTTGATTACTGCAAATTACAACGTGAAGATAACAGATTTCGGATTCGCGAGGAACGTGCGACAGAGAGACCGCGATATTCTGAGCGAGACGTACTGCGGCTCGCTGTCGTACGCCGCGCCCGAGGTGCTCAAGGGCGTGCCCTACCTGCCCAAGATGGCGGACATGTGGTCGATTGGAATCATTTTATACACAATGCTGAATAAAGCTCTCCCCTTCAATGAAACCTCAGTAAAGAAACTTTATGAAAAGCAGGTGATTGTGAATTTTCATTAGTCCATCAATCTGATATCTAGAATTTTATAGTGACTTACCCTGAGCTATAGATCTTTCCAATTTACAGCTATCTTACAGATTCTTCTTATAGTACTAGAAGCCATAATCGATCAGAAACCTGCGTCGTAGACTACACATTTCAGTAATTGTGTTGCATTTCAGATAATGCGCAAATGGCGTTTCCGCACGAACATCGTCAACCAGCTGTCGACGGAGTGCAAGGAGCAGGTGACTGCGCTCATGGAGCCCGACCCTAAGGGCCGCCCCACAGCCACCGCCATCGTCTCCGGCACATGGATCGGCATGGACGCCAAGCTAGCTAGTTTGTATCACTTTTATATATCAAATCAGTATTAACACTTTCCATGCCACGACAATTTTATTACTGTACTCTTATGTTTGCCTAAACGCCTATTACCAAAAAAAGTTAATTTTCAATTGACACGATCGTAAAACAGACAATATTTTTGTCCAAAATTCCAGAATTAACATTCCTAGAAGAGTCCCTTTTGAAACAAGCCGAAGAGGAAGCGCATATGAAAGAGAAGGATAATTACGTGGAGAGCGAAGTGGAAAGAATCGCCGAGTTGCGAAGAAAAGGTCGAGGGAAAGGTAAATTATGTAGTTGTATGTTTTTATTAGATTACGAGTTCACCAGGTATTATATGTTTTTGGAAATGACAGCGACATACTGCAATGTAAGGTAAGTTATAAACTTAACCCGTTCAATGCCACTACAATATTTTCATATGAAAGTGATTGGGCGTTAGTGGCACGGAACGTGTTAAAAAACATAGTTAAATATCTTAAAACAAATGGATTAAATGTCCTCTTTGTCGCTTCTAGTGGAATGGGTGGCAGAAGATCGACTGGTGAATTATATTAATTTTTCTAAAGCAATACGGAATTAATAAAAATCCTTTTAACGAATCGACACATAAGAGCTGAAATAGAGATCTGTGTATTCGTACCAGGCGCGGAACAGAAGGTGAAATTCTTAAATTTACAAATAAAATATACAACTCAATGTAAAATAATAGGAAAAAACAGATTGAAACGATAAAAATAATTTTATATACTTTGCTGGGGAACACTATCTAAAAATACTAGCTGTGTAATTATTTGGGGGAGATAGTTCCTTAGAAGCATCGACAATGAAGTGTTTCTTTGTTCCAGAGGGTCTGAAAGTGTTGAAAGCAACTGAAGGAATTCATGAAAAATCACAATCCGTACTTAACCAAAAACATAAATAGAAATATAAAGTCATCATGTTGAACCAGTGTTTATTAACTTTTACATTGCATATTTTATTTTAATTTATTGTAAAAATTATTTAATATAATATGTACGATGTTTTTTTTTGTTTTATCATATCGACGTTTGATACAAAGCTATGGAAGACAAAAGTCTATAACAGGGTAGTACGTATATAATGTTGGCACATCTTATAGGAACAGGTTTGCGGATCTCTAATACAATGTAAATAAAAAACGTCTCCAAAAAATTTTTCGTACAAAATGACAACACATAAAGTATACGAATTAGATTATTTTAAAGGAGCGTTTGACTTTAGTAGCATTAAAAAAAATTAAAAACATCACTAGATGTTCGATCTTTAATTTAAAACACTTTTCATAGAACATAATAAAATATTTTTTCAATAGAATTTTGAAAATGCACGGCACAGGCCTACTTTACTTTATTTTACTATGTACATATTTGCTTCAATTTAATAGCTTTATACACTAACTAAATTATGTTTAACTTTTATAGTAATCATGCAATTAATACCTCAATAACAAAAGTTACAATTCATTATAAAATACAGAATATATTCTTCGTCTATTCGCAGTCAAACGCCCCTTATGTTTAAAATCCAAACAGGACAATCTTTACTCCAAACCACTGCCATACATTAGGCGAATACGGCCATATCGCTACCTTATAATAAATATATTCTATTAATATTAAATTTCATACATAATAAATACAAGTTCTCAAACTCTCTAACAATGAAAATCTCAGTAAACTCAACGTTGTCTACATATTGTATAAACAAGTCGTTAACTTACGAATATTAAGAAAAACTCGCGGCAAAAGTCAGTTTAAATATTGTCACGTCAGTCATATTTATTTATAAACCATTATTACATTGTACTAAGTACTGATTTAATAACAACACTACATATTATACAAACATCATTATTACTTAATTCAAGTTAGGGATGATCGATAATTATAGATATCAAAATATCGATTTTTTTTTAAATATCGATATTACACGTTAGGATTAGCTCAAAGATATAAAGCATACAGCATTGTAATAATGCTACTTGAATACATTACAATATCAGTGAATAAAATATTTTATAACAATTATTATCGTCTACTTTATAATTGATTTCTTTTGATTCAAATATATAATTTGAGAATTATTTGAGAGTTATTCCAATAAAAAATATGAAACATCGATATCGATTTATCTTAACATCGATCATCCCTAATTCAGTTAAACAGTTATGTAACAATATTTTCTAACTGAATCTAAAGTGGCATTATAAAAATTGTTGGAATGTCTATTGCGATAGCTTTATTGTTTTTATCGAGATACAAGTTGAGATACTTAAGTTACTTATATTATTTTTTTATAATTTAAATTATAATCTTTTAAAATATAACATCGTTTGCTCTTATCAACTATAAATCGATAAATTCATTACATTGTATTTGGCAGTAACCGACTTCGCTGATATCATTTTTATATTTCTTACAGTTAAAATTTTATACTTCGAGCAAGTCAATGCTCTTTTAAAACTTTATTAAAATAATACATCAATTAATATAGTTCATAAAACTCAGCACCGAAGTTAGAGACTAAAGCAAAACCTACAATACTCTTTGATAAGCTAGCTACCAAATTGAACCACGATATTAAAAAAGGTCACAAAAAAATGTCGAAATGCCAAGCTAAAGTTAATAAAACGTAATTTAAAAATTAAGCATGCCTAAAATAAATTAAAACACCATTATTTTATTAGAGTTCTATAAATAAATTGATTTACCAATCGGTAATATTTTTTTTTTAACTTAAGAGTCCAAGATAAAGCCTCGACTTTTTAACAGAGTTGCCAGTTTAGATATTTTCCCTTATTAATTAATTACACAGTTCTTATATTTACCAACATGTGTACTATAAATACAAATTCATAACGATGTAGTAAAAAGTTTAGAATCTAATACACAATTTAATTTTTTAAATTCCCTATAAATATTTTGTGACAAAAAACGATCGGATACACTAAAAATTTCGAACTGACAGTTCGGATACACATTCAACATGTTTTAATTTTCGAACAACTTTTAATGCAGTTCGGATACACGTCCAACACTAACTTGAACTGTCACAGTTCGGATACACAATTCACTGCCACATTGAGTTAGGTAAGTCTCTCATTATAAATTTAGTAGAAATGTACAGTTAGAGTATCCCTTAGCGGGCAAGGAGTGTGAATGCAGTTAGCAAGTGCGTGTTACCTATGGCGCCCGACGCGGCGCTAGTGTGCACGGCTGTCGTCACGCGGGGGAGAGACACCCGACTCTACGACTGCTACTGACTTTGCTCTCATCATCTGAAAACATCATTATTTTATACATTAGAAACATTTTTTTTTAACCCAAGGGTTGGCGACACCCAGACGGCCGGCTGTACAATTGAGTTAAAAATGGTTTATAAATTCGATAAGGCCAGGAATATAATTTTAAATTTTTTTACAAATACATATTAAAAAATTATTGATGTTACCATTTACGACCATAAATGGTGGGAATCGAACCCACGACCGCATGATCGGTAATATATTTAACCATTAGATTATTGAAGCTTCAAGGTAAGTAAGAAACTTTATGTAATGGATATTTTAACATATTTAGGCCTTTAGGTGTCTTCCCTTTACACTGGTTGTTAGTTTTAAAAATATTTATCATAAAATGAATGGCATTATTTACATTTATTAAATTAAAAAAAAAAACATTATGACACTGAAATAAAAGTACCGCTATAACGAAATAAAGCAAAACCAAAACCACACCCTTGTTAAAGTTGTTATTTAAAACAAACACCAAAAACTAAGTCTACGATGCATTGAAAGATTTAGGATTATGTGATGAAAAATAAATATAAAAGTTTACCAAAAGTAAAAATATCGACATCTTTCTAGAACTGGTGGAAACATCACTAGAATCAATAAATACACATTAATTGTGAAAATATTACGATTTAACTGATTATGAAATAAACAATATCGATGGACATTTTCTTGACTAATCAAATTATTTTCAATTATTGACTGACAATACGTAGATTTTTTTATTAATTATTAATTAATAACCTATTGCTTTGTACCAAGCTTACATTTCAGTATAACGAAGCTACAAGATAGCTAGATACTGCACATTGACCTGTATACATGGACAGGCTATAACGCGTAGGTTTTTGAAACGAATTGATTTTCGCCATTTTGGCGGTCTCTGTAGGTAGAGATCTTATCACAACCGAACTAACAATAGAGATTTATTTAACTGTCAGGAATACGAACAGGGTTGTATTGGTTGGTTGTGGGTGGTTGTAGGTTGGTCGTGGGGGGTGTTAGTACGTTAGTGGTGATGACTCACGGGCGGTGCGAGGTCACCTGAGGCATCCTCCCGCAGCGGACAGACCAGCTCGCCCAGATCCAACTCCTCGCGGCTCTTCTTGCGCTTTAACGAAAATTGGCTCTTCTTTGGTACCTAAAAAAATATCCCCTTTAGTTTTTTAAATATCTTTACAATTTTATCTACTAATAAACCTCCGACACAAAAATATACCTTATATTTGGTAGTTGCTGTGAGCGGCTGGTAGCCTAATGTTTGTTCCGCGTTACGTTTCTGCTGT